TAAGGCAGCCGGCCTTGGAGCCCTCCTCCCCTGGCATCTGGGGGTGTCTCTGGTGCTGTTTTGGGGCAGAACAAGAGTATTTGGAGAGATCTGTTCCTGCTTGGTAAGCAGGGCTGGCTGCTGGCTGGGTTCCTGGGAAAAGTTCCCAGATCTGTGCTGCTGGTGGATGGCAGATTTTGGATGTAATATTGATGGAAATAATCCCCCAAAAGAGCAGCCTGGGGAAATGCAGCTGATGGAGGTGGAGGAAAGATACCTGAGGAAGTTGGGCTGTTTTGGGGGAGAAAGTAGTTTTTCATTGCAATGGGTTTTCTGGGGTTTAAATATCTTGCGCAGCCATACCGCTCCCAGCTGCAGCGTTTCCCCGAGACGAGCTCAGGCACGCAGAGCTCTCTGGCCAGGGGCAGATAAACAGAAAAACGTGAGCTGGTTTTGGTCTGCGGGACACAAATCCCCTCGTGAGCATCCCGGGAGGGACTCGTGGCGGGGGGGAGCAGCAGGCTGGGGCCGGGCTCTGGTGCAAGCGATCCGTGCTCAGGCTAAGCCTTGCCTGGGTTTCCCTGGGGGGATGCGGCGGCTGGTCACTGCATCCCTGGGGAAGAGGTCCGTGGGGCTGGGAGCCAGACCCAGGGGACCCGGCGCTGCGCCGCGGATCATCCCGGGGACCAGACCTGGGGTGGCACTGGCAGGGCTGAGCGAGCCCCGGCCACGGTGCCCTGGTCGCGCACGGGGGGTGTTGGGTCTGAGGACGGGCATGGGGACATCCCATGGGGTGGAAGGACCTTCTCCCTCTACCGACCGAGACCCCACACCTGTGGGGCACAGGCAGGGATGCCTCCATCGGAGGGCAGGCACCTCAGAGCTTTCTAGATCCCATCCAAAGCTACCCCAGACTCACCCGGACCCGTCTCCCACTGCTCCCTGCAAAAGCTCCTTGCCAGGTCCCCTCTTCTCCCCCGATGCCGCACTAACAGGGCACTAAATTCAACCACGAGTGGGAGATCCCTGGGGTTTTCCTTCCCCTCCTGCCTTTCAGATAGCAACTGGGACCAGTAGCAGGGCTTGGATAAAGCAGCCCCTTGCTCCCGCATGGCTTCCCTGTGGGAAGCTTGTCCTGCAGGCTCAGAAATACCATCAGGGAGGCACAAGCCATCCCTGCCCCACAGCTTTTTGCAGTGGGGGGGTTATCCTGGGGATACATTGCAGGGAAAACCAGCCCAGGGGTGCTCCTCCGCCGGCCAAACCTCCGGGGAGGGTTTGTTGAGCCCCAGCAGCTATAGCAACGAGCCCTGCCGCAGCTCTGCTCGCCCCGTCGCCCGCCTGCCTGCCTGAGCC